GGGATGGGATGGGATGGGATGGGAGAGACCTTACAGATCATCTCATCCCACCCCTGCCATGGCAGGGACACCTCCCACTGTCCCAGGCTGCTCCCAGCCYCAATGTCCAGCCTGGCCTTGGACACTGCCAGGGATCCAGGGGCAGCCACAGCCTCTCACAGTTATTGACTGATTACTAACAGGGATCCTGCCTGGCTCTGCACTGCAGGTGACCTWGCAGTCACTGAATTTACTCCCATAAATATGTTTGTGGAGAAATATCCTCGTTCCTTAATATAGAATGCTGTTTATCTTGGAACAGCAGCAGAAAGAGAGACAATGACACTTTTCTTGTTCAGCCTGYGAGGAGCACCTGGGGACTTTGGTGGCGCTGTCGCTGAGCACTCCCAGWGTCACCCAAGCTGCTCTGTGATTTTCACAGCCCATTTTTCTTCTGGGCCCTTTTAAGGTCTCCTCTCCCTTGCCAGGGGCTGGGCCTCCTCATTACTCAGAGATTTGCAACCTTTGCTGTTTGAAGATGGAAATAATGAGTGAGACATTTTTCTGGGGTGGGATGCTGGAAGCTTTTTCAGTGTCCTAAGATTTTAGAGGAAATTCCATGAGTGAAAAAAATCTCAAGCATGTCCTTAGCTCCTGGGTATTGTGGAAAAGCCACTTTCTGCTTCAACTTATCACTCTGCACAACTCCCTGACAGGAGGGGACAGCCGGGGGGGTCGGGCTCTGCTCCAGGGAACAGGGACAGGAGGAGAGGGAACGGCCTCAGGCTGGGCCAGGGGAGRCTCAGGTTGGACTTCAGAAGGAWTTTCTTAATAGAAAGTGTGGCCAGACGTTGGAAGGGGCTGCCCAMGGAGGTTTGGAGTCCCCAKCCCTGGAGGTGTCCAAGGAAGGTGTTGATGTGCCACTGAGTGCTCTGGGCTGGGGACAAGGTAGKCATCAGGCAGAGGYTGGACTGGATGATCCTGGAGGGTTTTTCCARCCTCAGTGATCCTGGGATTTTGGGAACTGTGAGGGGCTCTATAAAAGGGAACTGGACCCTGCCARCCTTCCTGTCCTKTCCCTCGTTMATTTTACACATTGGCTGCTGAAAGGAGTTGGGATTGCATCCAATGGGATCAGCCATGGATGAAATTTTTGAAAGTTTTCTGGACCTCAGCAGCAAAATGTACCCTGAAACCAAACTGGAATGTTCTTTTATGCTCCAGCACTGACAGGTAGAGGATGGTGGCAGATCCCTCCTCTCCTGCACAGCTTCACTGCTTCCCAGCATCACTGCAGCATGGAGGCACGGGAATGGGAGACTGGGACAAACCTTGAGACACTGAGACTGACAATCCCCCAGGAGGTTTTGTGCCCAGCACTGGAGCCTGTCYGGGTTCTGTCCCACACGCTGATCCCTCTCAGTGCCAGCTGCTGCCTGGCCTGGGGGCAGTGGCTCYGGGGATTTCCCGTTTCCTGGTGTGTTAAATGTGGAATCACATGGGGATCAAATGTGGGATGATCTGAGGATCTCACACCTGACCCAAATCATAGGAAACTCCAAGCCTGTCATGGAAACTTAGCAAGTATTTGGGATGTGTTGTTGATGGAGGAGTGTTCTCTTGGAGTGATGATGKTGGAGCACAGGAGGCTTTCCTGGCTGACTGTTGTTGTCTCCAGGAAAAACAACCTGTGGGGCTCAGTGGTTTCCCTGGAGAATCTAGTGGTCATGGGCCAGCATTCCAACTGTCCCTGTCCCAGCCTCTGCTGGGCTCCCCCTCTATTGGAAAAGCTTCTGTATTATGAGTACTCCAATTAAACCCCAAAAATTGATGGTCTACACAATATAGCATTAAATCTTTGTGGAGAAAATTAATTTAATTCCATTCTTTATTCAGCAAGATTCGTTGTGRTTATTGGACAGTGGGAGAGAGTGGATTAACAGGTAGGAAAACAGGATTCTTTTGGATGGTTCATTCCCTGCACAAACCACGACCAGCAAGAGAAAAGGAACTTCCTTCTTGTCTGCTCCCATCTCATCTCTCTTGATCCCTCAGTCCCGCAGCAGATGCCACACTTTCATTCTGATTGTGTTGGAAAGGAGCCCTTTGGATCAGCAATCCTGGTGTTTAACACACAGGAATGTCGAGCAGTTCTCCATCTCACCACTCAGGAAGGACACGGGGGAAGGAGCCTTCCAGGGAATGGCTGCTCAGGAGCACGGGTTTCATCCCAGCTGGAAAGATGAGTTAAGAGCCGAGTCCCAGTGAGCTTCTGCACCTCTCATGGGAGGGGAACAGGGATTTCCCAATGGGAGTCACAGTGTGGGTGCCAGGGCCACCTCCCAGAGATGCCCACGGGCCACCTGCTGAGCCAGCTCTGAACRGGTGCCTGGGAGGGCTGGGAGCACCGGGAGAGATGGTGTGGGGCAGCCCTGGGGTGGGCAGGGATCACTGCTGTGGGTGTAGGACTGGTGCAGGGCTCCTCACCTCCCAACAGAAAAGACATGCAGGTCTCAAGGGTCCTCGAACCATCCTTTGTATGCAGGGAATTGGAAACACTTCCCAAGGGCTGGTAAAATGGGAGGCTTTTACTGGAAAGGAAACTTAACCCTCTCTGATGGAGAGTTCTGCAGGCAGGGCTGTTTCCAGCTGTTGTCAATTTTTCCTGTGGCCAACGGGACTGCCTGACCATGACCCCAAAAGTGCCCAGAGGAGCACTAAGAAAAGCACKGGCTCTGCAGCTGAACTTCGTCCTTCTCCCAGAGTCAGTGGTCAGGCGTTCTGCCCAGAAAAAGCTGGGAATCCAGCTGTAAGGAAGGCACAGGCACTGTTTCTGCTGGAAAAGGAACTTCCCAGGATTCTCAGAAATTTCCATAGGAATTTTTTAATATTTGTGGTGGCCTTTCAGCTCCTCAGCCGGCATCAACCAGAAGTTGAAGTTTACCCTGTGTATTAACCCAGACACACCTCCTGCCTCGTGGGTTCCTTYGGAATTATCTACTGGAAGGGGTGGGAACTTCCCCACCCTTGGGGATCAATAAAAAAGCACCAATGAAGAAAGGAATCGGAGTTTCACCAGGACGAGCCCCTCACCAAGCCCCCTGTGCTGTCCCCTCACAGGCTGCAGGCCAGCTGGGAGCTGTCTGACAGGTCCTCCAGGTTGTCCACCAAGGTGATGATGGCTTCGATTTTTTCTTCTGGAAGCACGTGGGAAGCGTTGGATCGAAACTTCTTCAGGAGCGACTCTTTGCTCAGGGGCTTCCTCCAGTGCCCGTAGAAAGTGTCACATTTGCCCGTGAGGAYGTCCCCGCTGTGCAGGAGCAGGGCCACCTCGCCATACATCTTGTCA